TTTTGGTGGCAAAGTCAAGAAAACGTTTCAAAACATTTCCTATAAAATATGCCAATGAGCTACTCAGGCAGTAGTGACATACCTGAAGGAGCTGGGTTTGCATTCTCCATGAAGCGAAGTAAATTGCATCGCATCTGAAACTGGAAATGTATTCTCTTGATAGTTTTATTCTCATCCTGGATCACAGAAGAGTAATGCTTTCAAAAATGCCTAGGGCCAGATTCAAGAAAAAATGGTAATAATAGTGAAATGGTAAAGATTTCCAGGAGCACTTGGGTGTCTACAGCTCCACTGACTGCAAAGGAGATCAGACACCTTCAGGTTCTAGAAAACCTCAGATTGAATCTATCTACATCTTTAGACAATTTGGGAGCCAAAATCTTAGGGAAAATCAATCACGGCCACCAAAAAAACAGGACAAAGTGTTCTTTTGGTCATTTTATCCCTGGTGCCATTTGGTGTAAAATTTAGCATTTCATTCTCTGCTAAAGTGTGTCGATGAAACTCTACCTCACTCCAGTGAAGAATGCAGCCCCCCGAGTTTCTGTGTCTTTCCAAAGGTAGACAGTAGTTCACTGAACACTGGGAGCCGATGCACCTCCTTTGGGATTCCCTTCTCCCGTTAAGGTAAGAGACAGAACATCGACCTCAGTTGAATTGCCAGTGAGAAGGGAACAGAGCCACAGGACAGTTCTGTAGTCCTACACAGCACGCCTCCTTGCTCCCGCATCAGGCTTTTCAACAGCAAAACCCTGTGATCCCGGTAGAACTACTACTGGTTTTGGCAGAAAATCAGAATCAGACTGCTTTCAGAAACAGCTATGGGGTGATACATTAAAGCTGTTCAAGACCTGCACTTGAATTTCTAAATGCAGGCAAAATCTGCATGAAAACGCAGTAGGACATCCAACTGCTTACAGAACGCAAGCACGACTGGCAGATTTCACCACTCTGCAGGCGCCGGTGAAATCTGCTTGTGGCATCAGCTCTGGCCTGCAAGAGCTTCTTGCTGCAAAAGGCATATTCCAAAGGAACCCACCGTGAAGTCCAAGCGACCCTTACAATTCACACCACTGAATGCTTGCTGACCTACTGGGATTCCCCTAGCCCCCACCTGTCTTGGAGAAACGCTAATTTGGCAATACTGATAGAGTGAAGTTAAGAGATTTGATGACTTCTCACCCCAAAATGGCTTAGCAAGGAAAGCAAACAAGCAAACCCAAACCACCTCGTGTCTGACAAGTGAGAGGGTTCGTAATACAGTGCAATTACCACTCCGTTTTGGCATGATTCAGTCAAAGTAGAGACAACTGGGTTGAAAAGTTGACATTGTATTTTTTTTTTGAAAACAAATTTGTCTCTATTCTTACAAAAAAAGAGAACTTTTCCAACGGAGTAGAACCAGTTCTGACAAAGCTGCCATTGTCAGGCAGGCACAAAAAGGTTTTAAAAGGTGACTCTAAATATTTTATACGAATCCAAATTATGTACTTCTTATCAATGTCAGAGTAAGGGTCAATAAGGACAAGTTGTTTTTAAACTCCAGAAATAATCCGTTGATGGCATTAGCACTCAGCCAAACTGCTGGTTCCTGAACATAACTTTGTAAATCCCTACCGAATAACACCTCCTTAGCAGATCAGACTAGGAGCAACAAATTTTACACGAAAATAGATGCTTGCCAACATTTTAGGTTTACTATAAAGGAGTTGTTGAAGTCTTAGATAGATATTATATATATATATATATAAAGATAACGTGCCTAATTAGATATTTATGTAAAATGACTGTTTCTAAGGTGAGTAATACTAGAGGTAATTATATATTTAGCCACCAAAAGTCCACATTAACAAATGGTACTTGTTGTTCAGCAGACACGGATCTCATTTGCAGTGACACACTGCAAACAGCAAAGCTGCTCTGGAATTAGTGTTGCGATTGTGGACAGAATCTGGCCGCTGTCACACAACCACATCCCTTTCTCTGGAGGACAGAGATGTCTGAGCCACACTTTGAGCGTATTTTCTGCCACTAAATTTGACTTTTCAGTGTTGCTTAGGATAAATATTAACCCACTCTGTAGCTGGTACAACTATGCATTAATGAGCAAAGCTGGTGCCAAACTGGTACTGTAGTATTTTACATTTCAAATGACTCTCCCCAAAGTCCATACAAAGGTGAAGGATTGAGTTTTCTTGTGCAGGGGTTGTGTGGTTCACCACCTGTGGACTCTGGCTATAGGGAGCATGGATCTGGGAAGAAGCTGATTATCCCGGTCCAATAACACAAAGGAAAAGCTATGGCTCATTCATCTCTGTGCTATCTGGCCAAGGGACCAGTTCTTCCTTTTTTCCCCAACTTTATCTTAAGGGCTGGAGGCAGCCAACAAAAGTTAGTATCCATGTACTCCTGACTTAACTAACGTTGGGAATCAACCCTCCACGCATCAGCCCCCAGCAAACTGAGGGGAGTGCAGAGCCGTTCCTTGCACCATCCTTGTCTCTCTCCATCCTTATCTGCATAGCTGGCAGTTGTGCTGGGCTCGGGCAGCTGCCAAGCAGCTCCTGGATCCCAGACACACTGGGTGAGATGGGAGGAGTGGCACTATTTTGCTGTGCAGCCCACAGTGTGGCCCTGTTCTTTACATGACAAAATGCTTATGAAGCATAGGAACAGGTCCAGACCAGACTGCCCTTCAGTCCTTCCACCTCCTAAATGAACATGCACCACAGGCATCTCCAAATGCCGTTTTTAGTTCGCTCCACTGAGTGGGAAGTCAAACCCTTCTCTAACTCACTCTTCATAATCTAGGTCCATCTGGGTGAAACTGCTGCCTGAAACAGTTGTTAGGGATAAATATAAACCCATATTCTTTTTTAAGAAACAGACCATTTTGTTCTGTTAAGTGCTTGGTTCCTGAGATTTTTTTCTTGCCTCTAGGATACTTTAAGTGTAGAATTTTTCATGCCAAATTCATGAATCCAGGTGAGAGAGACTGCCTTACTTCTTTCATACCTTCCCTCTGCTGTAGGGATCTCCAATGTAATAGTCATCATTACCAGGAGAGGAGCACTATACCTGAATTACACTCTCTGTAACACTGTTTTTTCTCTGAACACCTCAGTAAGGCTCTTTACTAACTTCATTTTCTCATGGCAAATTAGCAAAGCTATTTTCTTGTCTACCTGTTCCTGAATCAAATCAGAGAGTTTTCCACAATTAACCTCCCGTTATTCTCTTGATTCTGTCATACACACTCACTACTAAATTTGCCCTCAGATTATTGCGTCATGTTACACATGTACAGACGAAGAAAGGACACACTTTTACGTTTTTTTTTCTTTTTTTTTTTTTTAAACAGAAGTAGGGAGAGGGGGGCTGAATGTGCAGACAAGGCAGTATAATTCAACCATCCAAGCCCTACCAGAGCATGAAGATTTTATTTTTTAATATTGCAGAGTAAGTTCCCCAACAGTCAGTGTTTGTCCCTGAAGAAGGTTAAACCTTAAACACCTGCTTCAAAAAAACCCCAACAGCAACAAAAAAGAACCAAAACAAAAACAAAACAAACAAAAAAAAATAAAACCCCAAAAAACCAAACTCTAAGCCTAAGGGCTTAAAAATTAGAGGCATAGCCTTTTTCTCTATTTTCTATATTTATATGAAAATAATTCATGCTTCATGCTAAATACATTATTTACCTTACAAGAACTTAGTCATCTTTGAGTAAAAAAAATTGTTTGCTTTTTGTATTCCCCTCCTCCCAAAAGGAATCCATGCAATGTGGATCAAATTTCTTCTGGCTACGCTGGTCGAATCTGGAAATCTGTTGTCATTTTTTTCCACAGATGAATCCTGACTGACGGTAACTGGATGCTCATTTCTGAGCGCAGTGTAGGAGCTCTTTTGCTGAACTTCTGAATTTTACTGTTCACCAATACGCTTTCATTTTATTTTTAAATGCAGAGTACTACTAATGGCAGGTTCTGTAGCTTTGTTTCCCCAGTTAGATCAAGGATTTGATCCACAGAAAAAGATTCTGATGTATTTCCTTCCCTAATATCTACTGTAATTTCTTAGACTTGATTGCGTTTCACTCAGGCAGTTTAGAAGACACAGTTTGTTTTTCCCTATTACTATCATTTTTTGCACGCAGTGCCAATCTTCGGGCTTATGGCTTTTTGAACATTCTTTTAATTTAATATAGAAGACAGAATTCAATGATTAACGATGCTACTAACAGTGCACCCCCCCCTCCCATTTCTTCTCATTATTTCACTGAAACCCATTGCATACATAGTTCAAATTTACCCAAACTTAAAGTCATCAGTCTTCACATTATAAGCCACATATAGTACTTGAAGCACTGAAAGTGCGTTATGGTTTGCGCAGTTGCCACCAGTGGCTGTCCAAAGACTTCTATGGCACAACGTATCCAAGTGCCACTACATGGTTCTTGGTTTGGTGTCGAGAAGTGCGTGCCTCCTCTTTCCCCAAATCTCTTTATTCACATTCACTTCTAACCCAATCGTAAGGCCATTAAAAAAAACTAAGGGCCAGACCTGAATCATTACTAAATTATGCACAGCTCTTCTAGTATACGAGGGATTTCCATGTGCCCAATCTTACTCTCATCACATTACAGTTGATGTCACTGCGTGTTCAACCATGCACTTTTGACAAGCCGGAGAAAGCAATGGCAATTTTGGCTTTTTTTTTTTTTTTTGTGTGTGTGTTAACTTTTTGTCTTCAGGTAATGAAAAGCTTTTGTAAATTAGCTGAGTGTCAGTATGAGTTCTATGGCTTCAATCTCCTTTAAAAATAAAAATCTTAAGGGTCCAAAAAAAAAAAAAAAAAAGAAAAAAGAAAGAAACAAAACGAAAACAAATAGAAAGAAAAACAAAAAAGGAAAAAATTGCTGATATTGCCACAAATCATTAGAATTCACCTGACGTGCTGAAACAAAACTTTGTTAAGTTCAAACAAATCATTGATTTGTTCTAATTTTTTGTGGTTTCCTTTTGCTCTTTCTGCCCCTTTGCCGTCCGATTGGTGATGTTGTTCAAACAGGATCGAATTCCTGCTAAATGCAGGAGCGATCCTGCTGCTTCTTTCATCTCCTCATCGTCACTCTCAGGGGGCTTTTCTGTACGTCTCTTTTTAAGAGGCAGTGTGTCACTTGGTACTTTTTTCGCCTTCATTAAATGTTGCCTTTTCTTGTGCTGGGATGCATACCCACTGTCAGCTAAAGAATCCTTGGTCTCCTTCCGATTTTGCTTTTTGTCCTCCTCTTCTGTTTCACTATGGCTCTCGTGGCTCTGGAAGCTAACTTCACTTCCTTCACTGCTGTCTTGGCTACCTTTAGTTGCAAATTCATATTGGTCGTCAGCAGAGGAAGAGGAAACGGAGTCACTAGCCGGTGATGTGCTCCTGTGGTTGGAAGATTTGGCACTGCTGTAGTTGTGATCCTCCTTTGGGTCACCGCTAACAACTGGAGAGCCACAGGACTGTTCGCTTTCTGTCCGCATCCGGCAGCTTGTTATTCCATTCCTGTAAAAACAAATCGAAGCAGTCTTAGAAGCCACAGAGACGCGATCCTGCTTCAGTGCAAAAGATGATAAAGCCAGCTGATGGATAATCTAAAATGACGCCTATCAAAGTAATGTCCATGCAGGCCAGTTTCAAAGCTGGGCTCAAATTGCTTGTGGATTGGACTCTACACATAAAACAAGCCAAAAGACACGTAACGGCACCAGAGGCAGGAGCAAGTAGTGCGTGGTGACGAATAAGTGATGTCTGAACAGTCCTGATTTACGTTTCAACTAATAGTTTATGCTTCAAAATAAAAAAAAATAAAAGAAAAAATCCCCATTATTTTACAGATTGGATATTAAATAAACTCTGATGAGTTGCATAAATATCCTCTCCCCCTTTTCATGTAACATGATACTACCAAAAATGTGGGGAAGAGATACTAGCTTTCTGGAGTACTGTTTTTGCCTCCTCTCAAAGACTCTTTTCCAGCTTGGACTCTTCCTGACAGAGGGAGCAACTAAGCATAGCACCCAGGTAGTAGCCCAGTCACATTTCTGACTGTGATCAGTTTATGAATAATCTTAGAAGCAATATAATCTTAAGCCACTAGCTGCCAATGAAGTATCAAAACACAAACAGTAGGAAAAAAAAAATCTGGTTTTGCTCTAGAAGTTTTAATTTTCTCCTTTGGTTTTTGGCACTCGGTGCTGTGTGAACTACTGCAGCACAACATATTTAACAACTAACAGTGTCCTCTTCTACACTGAAAAATATTAAAGCATTGCCACTGACTTTACAATACAGGCTACAACACTTGCAAGTCTGTTAAAGAAGAGACTGACCCTGTGCAATGCTTAACCCCTACTGGAAAAAAAGGAGAGAAGGATCCTCATCATCGAGTAAAGGCATCATCATTGCCACTCACCAGTTCACCAGACATGAACCCCTCTATCATTTAAAAAAACAACAAATCAAGCAAGACTGTTTAAACTACCACATGATAAATGGCTTTAAAATCTAGTCTTGCCATCTTCGTGCTATCACTACAGTGCTTTCACACACTCATGTCAGTGTTGGATTAAAACCTTTTCTTAAATGCATACCCTGAAGATAAGTATTTAATGGCACAGTGGCATGTCCAGAGTATTACTGCTTGCATACCCTGAAGATAAGTATTTAATGGCACTTCTACTTAAAAAATTGGAAAGTGCTTTAGGTTTCACAGAATGGACCTCACATCTGGTTTCTTTACAGAAGAAACAGCAAGAGTATTATCCATTTCTGAAAGGTAAGGCTGAAGGGTGGAAAATGCAAGAGTGGTATATAATTCCACAGTTCCTATTCATCTAAATGCTCTCATCTGTAGAGCTTGCTGAAATAAGAAATGGGCTTTTGAGAACCAGTGACAGGACAATGCTAGAAGGTAGCATATCAATCAGTCATTGCAAATGTTCTTATTTACGGTATTTTCAAAGAAATGTATATAACAGAAGACCCAGTTATTAGCAAAGAAAGCCTCTTGCCAAACTCTTTTGCTCAACAAAATTATTTCCCCCTAGATTTTCAAGTAGCTTTATGATCCATAAATTATATACAGAACCCAGAAGGAATACACAAAGCTCCTTCAATTATTAATAACTAAATGCAATGTCATTCATGATTGTGCAGCAAGCCAGCTGCATTTACTCTGCGATGGTTTGCCACTGCAGGGGTTGTCATTAGACGATGCCAAATGCTTAGAAGAAGAAATCATCCATACTAAACTAGTTGTAAGGTGAATTTATAACCAACACCTTAAGATCAGTCATTACAAGCAAGCATGTGATGCATTTTAAGTGACAGATTCTTCATTTTTAGGGTAAATTTACATTTAAACATGTTAAAATTTACCATAAATTAGCATAAAATTAAAGTTACTTGATTTTACTAGGCAGCTAATAGTCAGAGCAATGTGGCTCAATAAAAATCCCATGCTACTAATTTGCCATTAAAAAATAGCAATACATTCTTGCTCCAAGGAAACAAACACAGGACAGCATAGGTGGGAACTCAAATGGGATTCCTACTGACTATGTTATTAGTGAACAAGGCTTCTAACAGATGGGATTTAAATCAAGATGTCCATTTTCGTGTTACTAGATCTGCTCCTACTTGCTGGTTTTGTACTGAGAGACTATCAATAAAATGAAAGCTACAGTTCCATGGACCAGAGCAACCACATGCCGAAGACATCCCTGATTTGCCCCACTCTTGAGTCCCTAATGTTTGCTTTTACAAAAAGGGGCTATAATTTGCATTCAAAAGCTCTGCCTATAGGACTTACTCCAGATCCAAATCCTTTCAAAAAATGCCTAGAAATAGAATGAAAGGCCCGGGGATTACAGAAGCAATGTCCTGCAGGAAGGTGTACTACTATAGGGTTAGCATCTCACACAGACTGACTGCAAATTGGGATGATGACAAAGAAAAACAGAAGACCACAGAAAAGTGAAAAAAAGAAAAAATTCAAAAAAATGAGAGGAAATGAAATACCAGTACACTTCAGAAGAAAGGCATATGTGGTGGGACTGGTCAGGAAATGGACAGCATTTGCATCTCAGAAAAATCTTTTGTTTTCACTTACATTTTGAAAGATTTCCAACCAGTTCTGCTTGGGGGAATAAAAAAGGAAGAGAAAGCAGGTCAAGGAGAGAATTAGCAAAGGATATCTGCAGAAACGAAAATGAGTTACACAGGCAGAGTGTTTTAGGATATTGACAAAGTCAAGTCGTGTACCCTGAAAGTAAATTAATCTGATTTGTATTTTGACACGCAATAGCTCAAACATAAGATTTCAAGAATTACTTACAATTGATATTAGTAGATTAATTGGAGTTGAACAAAAGAGCATCTAAACCATTCATATTCCATATGCACTTTTGAGACATTCTAAAGCTTCATATTGCTCTTACAGAGTCACGTGCTCACTAAGAAATGAATCTGTGATTCACTTAGTTCAATCTAGATCATCAGCAGATAGAACTCTCCGGGTTTTCAGATTTTGGCCAGTGGAATCTATTTTTGCTCACAGTTCTGGCTGGAGCTCTAACTTTATTACTGAAACCAATAACAGATTTTTAAAAGAAGAGCTTGCTCTGATGTTTGGATTATTTTTAAATTACAGAGGGGAAGAAAAGGTATTTAAGAATAACAGCGAGGGGAAATTTACTTAAAGTAATACCTTATTTTTTCCCCATTTTTTTGTTCGGAACTTTATTTCAAAATTTCCAGAAACTGACATATTTTCCATGGGACAGTCTCTAGACCTTTTCATCCTACTGACATAGACTACTCTATTTGCTTGAGGGATCTTCACCATAGTTATACAGCTAAAAGTACCATGCACAGATTCTTCTTAAAATATTTCAATAATTCAAAAATGGCTGTAGCACAATGACACAAGCCTCAAGCACTGCAAAGGTAAGTTCGGACTTTAGAAAGCCCGACTCTGTTCCCATCGTTAATGGATAGGAGTTCTGCTACTAATGTCATCGGGAGCCAGACGAGATGCATAGCAGCTGTATCTCAAGTCAGTAAAGAAATGTCATTTGCACTGTGTTAGTGCCTCTGCCTTTCAAAGGGGTCTTCCTCAGGATTAGATGAAAGTAAGTCTCAGTCATTTTACCAAAGGCAGATATATTTTCCTTAAGTTCCTCTACTAGCTTTATAAAAAGATAGGTAATTACATTCTGTTTGCAAAACAGCAAAAAGTTTTGCTGAAATATACTTAATTGTATTCCACACCAGAGACAGGAATATTCCTTTGATGAACAAAGCAAACCTATGTGCGTCCCTGTCCACGGCACGGGGGTTGGAACTAGATGATCTTTGAGGTCCCTTCCAACCCAAACCATTCTATGATTCTATGTGGAGTTTAAGTATCACCTCATCTAGCTCTGATTCTTCTGGATGACAGATACTGTATACCCATAGGTGATAGTTTTGGAACATAATTGGAAACACCCAGTTAAAAGACATGAAGAAATCAGTACAGGTAACTTGGGTTTGTGGATTTTGACAGGTTTCGGGTTTGCTAAAAAAGAAACTCACTCTTTTTTAATGTATAGGTAACATAATTTCAAAGGGAAATTCAAGATAGAGTTTTACCTACAGGTAGTTGAACCGTTACTTAAAACCCTACATACCAGCAGACAGGAGGATGAGTGAGCATATGAAAAGTAAATGGCACTCAACTTGCTGTATGATGAGATTCTATCAGGAGTTATCGAGTTAAAAGTCAACACGTCGGTCACGCTATTGATAGAAGCTCTTACAAAGGTATTTCACAACATAATTGTGAGCAAAGAACCACAGTAAATGGGAGTCATGAACTACCAGCAGAAAGAGCACTCTGTCAGTATCAACAGCAGATCTGAAGTTAAGACAAATGCAGCCCTCTACGTTTTGCAAAAGAGAATAATCAAGGCAGTAACTCAGGAGGACTGCAAGGATGTTGGGAGGTTATGCAGGGAGAAAATTAAAGGGCCAAAGCCCAACTAGAACTTAATCTGACTACTGCCATAATAAACAATTAAAAAATGTTTCTATAAATATATTAGCAACAAAAGGAGGGCTAAGGACAATCTCCATCCTTTACTGGATACAGGGGGAAACAGTGACAAAGGATGAGGAAAAGACTGAGGTACTTAATGCCTCCTTTGCCTCAATCTTTAATAGAAAGACCAGTTTTCTCCAGGTACTCAGCCCCCTGAGCTGGAAGACAGGGACGGGAGCAGAATGAAGCCTCCATAATCCAAGGGGAAATGGTTAGCGATCTGCTACACCACTTAGGCACACACAAGTCTATGGGCCAAATGGGATCCACCCAAGGGCACTGAGGGAGCTGGCAGAAGTGCTCACCAAGACACTTTCCATGATTTATCAGCAGTCCTCACTATCTAGAGAGGTTCCAGTTGACTGGAGGTTAGCAAATGTGATGCCCATCTACAAGAAGGGCTGGAAGGTGGATCTGGGGAACTACAGGCCTATCAGTCCAACCTTGGTGCCCAGGAAGGTTATGAAGCAGATCATCTTGAGTGCCATCGCATGGCATGTATAGGACAACCAGGTGATCAGGTCCCATCAGCATGGATTTACGAAAGGCAGGTCCTGCTTGACTAACCTGATCTCCTCCTATGACAAGGTGACATGCTTAGTGGATGAAGGAAAAGCTGTGGATGTTGCCTACCTAGACTTTTTAGTAAAGTCTTTGACACTGTTTCCCACAGCATTGTCCTGGAGAAACTGGCTGCTCATGGCTTGGACGGGCATATGCTTCACTGGGCAGAAAACTGGCTGCATGGTTGGGCCCAAAGAGCTGTGGTGAATGGAGTTAAATCCAGTTGGCAGCCAGGCACAAGTGATTTTCCCCAGGGATCAGTACTGGGCCCAGTTCTGTTTAATATCTTTACCAATGATCTGGACGAGGGGATCGAGTGCTCTCTCAGTAAGTTTGCAGACATCAAGTTGGGTAGGAGCATTGATCTGCTTGAGGGTGGGAAGGCTCTACAGAGGGGTCTCGACAGACCGGATCGATGGGCTGAGCCCAATTGTATGTGGTTCAACAAGGCTAAGTGCCAGGTCCTGCACCTGGGTCGCAACAACCCCATGCAATACAGGTTTGGGGAAGAGTAGCTGGAAAGTTGCCTGGTGGAAAAGGACCTGGGGGTATTGGTCGATAGTTGGCTGAGTATGACACAGCAGCATGCCCAGGTAGACAAAAAGGCCAATAGCATCCTGGCTGGTATTAGAAACAGTATGGCCAGCAGGACTAGGGAAGTGATCGTCCCCCTGTACTCAGCACTGGTGAGACCGCACTTCGAATGCTGTGTTCGGTTTTGAGCTCCTCACTACAACAAAGACATCGAGGTGCTGAAGCGTGTCCAAAGAAGAGCAACGAAGCTGGTGAAGGGTCTAAAGCACACAAGTCTTATGAGGAGTGGCTGAGGGAACTGGGGTTGTTCAGCCTGGAGAAAAGGAGGCTGAGGAGAGACCTTATTGATCTTTACAACTACCTGAGAAGAGGTTGTAGGAAGGTGGGTGTCGATCTCTCTCCCAAGTAACAAGTGACAGGATGAGAGGAAATGGTCTCAAGCTGTGCCAAGGGAGGTTTAGATTGGATATGAGGAAAAATTTCTTCACTAAAAGGGTTGTCAGGCATCGGAACAGGCTGCCCAGGGAAGTGGTTGAGTCACCATCCCTGAAGGTATTTAAAAGAGGTGTTGATGTGGTGCTCTGGGACATGGTTTAGTGGTGGACTTGGAAACACTAGGTTAACAGTTGGTCTTGATGATCTTTTCCAACCTAAGTGATTCTATGATTCTATGAACATTAAGAACATACAATTAAGAATTTATAAAAGGACGTACCTACCAGTTCTTTTACCTACACGAAAAGTTCTTTTACCTCCATCCCTGGTAAGAACATACAATTAAGAATTTATAAAAGGAAGTACCTACCAGTTCTTTTACCTACATGAAAAGTTCTTTTACCTCCATCCCTGGTGACGTTCAAGGCCAGGTTGGACGAGGCCCTGAGCAACCTGATCTAGTTGGAGATATCCCTGTTCCTTGCAGGGGGGTTGGACTAGATGACCTTTGAAGGTCCCTTCCAGCCCTAACCATTCTATGATTCTATGAAAATAGTCATTCACAGATAATGTAAGTAAATCATTTTACTTACGCTTTGCCATCTATGCTGCACATGTTACTTATGTTTGGTTTATTTAATCACTGCTTGAATGGCTGCTTCAAGGCAGTCAAAAATAAGCAAAAATAAAGCCAGCATGACAAATAAAGTCACCATAATGAAAGCTAGGCCTGAGGAATAATCTAGTAATTGCCCTATAAAGTGAAAATAATTATAAATAACAATATTCCATCTTCTAATAAAGGTAAGCACAAAACTCGTTTTTGTCACACTCCAAGGACCAGGAACTGTACAAGGAACTGTGGCATTAACAGGAGAAGAAAACCAGGTATTTAAAAATCTACCCATGATGAAATAGGTAAGGTTTGTTAGCGTTGCATTTTGGGGTGTTATGTTGGTTTGGGGTTTTTTAATTTTCTTTTTTAAAAAAAATGTGCATAGCGGTAGCTCTGCCAGTATGGATGCACTTGCTTTCCCTAGGAAAAGGCAATATTTTGTCTTGGAAACCTGAATGGAAAAATTTTTTACTGAAGAGAAATTCCTTGGGAAGCTTGTATATGCAATTTACAGATAATTGTGAAATTCCTTGAGAAGTTGCAAATATTTGATGAGAAAGGAGAATCGAAAAAAAGGGAAAAAACCCAAGTAATTTCCCACTAATTTTTACCCTGCAAAAATTTAAAAACCCAAAGTACTTCTAAGAAACACTACCAAAAGTAATTTAATCTATTACCTAGGCAGAAGTGGCATACAAAGAAGTTTTGCCTAAGTTTTCAACTATCCTGAAATAATGGATTTGATTCATTCTGGGGAAACGAAGGCTAAAAAAAGCAGTTAAGCAACGGGGTTTATGCTGTCCTCCATGCTGACAGTTCTGATGCATCGACAAACAGAGAACCACAAATCCAGCCAAAGTGTCTTTACTGGGACTGGCTCTGCTTGGCTCTTCCCAAATCATAAGAGTTTTACCCACTCTTCAAGATTTCCCACTGAGGCGGCTGCGAACTCTTCTTCCCTCTTTTTCACCTCCATCCCACACGCATTTGCTGGCTACTGTTATGGGACGGGGTTTTCATTTGGCCTTTCCATCAGAACAGACCACTGAACAGTCCATTAAGTCCTGTGGGCCAAGACTGGCAGCACCTTAATCTGGCCAAAAAAAATAGGGAAGCATGGCCTACACAGTACAAAAGCACCGAAGACCAGAGCTTCATAAATGCTGGATTCCCTGGGAGCCCATGTGAACGCTGTTCAGTGGCCTCTGTAGCAGTGAATGTTTGGGGCAGAGGAAAAGAAAAAAAGGCCTAATACATAAAAATTACTATGGATGTTTTGTAAAACATCTTTCACAGAATAACTGGGACCAAATTACAAGGCCTATGCCACAGAGCTGGTGAGATTCTCTATGGACTGAAATTCCATCGACCTCATGGATTTGCCCATGTCAGGCAGATGAGGCTTAGGCTCAGCAAGTCTATTGCACTGCAGCAGGACATGGGCACAGACGCAAACCACTCGTGCACTACGGATAACTGAAGAAAATTACAAACATCATGGTTGAGACTGTCCGCTGAATGTTCCGAAACTGTAGTTCAAACAGCTCTAATATTATTGCAACTTCCAAGCTTGTGCTCTTCCAAAGGGTTAGTGTAACTGGTAACACCTTACTCATGTGGAAAGTGATTATATATGATAGAGCTTCTTGCACCTTGCCAAGAGGCACATTGGCAAATGCACCGGCCACTTTGATAGAGACTACGCCTACTGAAATGGACACAGAAATCTTCTTAAGTAAATGTTCAAAAGGTATTTTCCAATGGATGTACGTAGTAAGAGGAAGAGCTCACTTCAAAGCACAACCAACTCCTTGCAGCACATAAGGCATCCCTGGCTTCGCTTGCTTTCATTTAATACCGTTGTAAGTCAGTATTTTCTTTTCTACATACCCAGACTATCACTGCACTTGCGTTTAGATTCTCTCAGGGAACCGAAACACGTATGATGGATCTCATGTTAGAGACACGGTACATGCTGTGCAGCTTTGAAGCGTGATTTTCCTCTGCAGTCTTTGGGTGAGTCTTAGACTTGTCAGCCACAACACGGAAAATATGGATGGTTGGATGGTAAACAAGCTAAAAGTGGTGTGAATAAAGTAAATAAAAAGCTACTGTCAAAACACATCCAATTATGCTCTGCTGTGGAGATTTAACACCAGAGGATGATTTTCAAAGTAAAACCAGTGTGGGATGCCTTTTCCATTTGTAGATTAGTTTGGAACGAAAGGCCTATTTGTGCAATTTAAGCCAAATGCACTACACCATAATGATGCTCTCGTCACTTGCTATTTTTTATTCATGTAAAGTGGTTGATTTGTCGTGTTTGTTAAATACTTTTCAGTAGGGTTTTTAAATCCAAACTACTTAATTCAATCGTACTTTATTGTATATATAAAAAATAACGTAATTACATGTAATTACATGGGAACATTGATACCTTGTGCAGGAACAAAATCCACTAATACGTTCAGTCACACTGTTGAAGAAGAATAGCACAGTAAACTTTCCGACTGAAGGGAGCTAACATATCAGAAATCACAGATTTCAGCATCTTAGGCCAATGCTATGGTTTTAGCCTCCTTTCCAAATAAGAGATAGTCAAAACACTCCTAATTACAACCACAAATTTAACCCAAGATCAAGCTGTTTTGACACTAACGGCAGTCTGCACAACAGGACAATATACTGCAAGTTATTCGCATGCAGTTTGGAGGACAACAAAACCAAAGAGCACTAAGATATTGAGGAAATAAACACAAAATGGAATAAACGGCTCAGACAGCAAGGAAGTGCCAACAGAAGACCAGCATCTTACAAAAGAACCCGTAACTCCTACATACGGTAACTAAAGAAAACCAGTTAAGAGGTTTAATTTATTATGCAAGGATCCACTACAAAGAAAATACTAGAGGTCCTCTATATGAATGATGAAAACCACCTTTTTTAGCCGGTTTTAGGTGTTTCACTTAGAGCACCAAAGGAACTCTTTTCAAGAAAATACACGTTTGAGTAAAAGCTTCTTGGAAAGAAGCTGTCTGGCTTCTCAATATATAGGCAGAGGCACATAATTTCTGCAGATAACTGTAACAGAGACTGCATCACCTCCCATGGCTGACCAGCAGATTTCCCTCCTGGTGAAAGCTAGAAAGGGAAATCAACATTCTTGCACCTGAACAGGTCTGAAAACATCCCTTGCCAGCCTGACTGGAGCAGTCCTCTTTGTAGGAATGACAGGTCCGTGTGAGCAGTATTCCTACTCTGGACTGCAACAGAATGTGCATGGATGCTGTGGTAAATTCCCTGGGTTGCGTATGATAAGCAGAAGTTATTCTCATGAAATGACATGAAAGCTCGACATGACAGGTCCTATTTAGCCCTGTGAGTCTGACGAGAGGAGTAAGTAAGCACCAAGAAATAGGGTGTCATTTTTACAGTAACTGATAACAGAAACATCCAGTTTTGAGAGGACCAGATGATGTTCTAAGAGACACCGTGCATGCCGACTGACCTTCTTCCTAAAGAAATTCTGAATTTTAATATCCCTGAGAGAAACAAGACAAAACTGCCTGCTGAAATTGCTCTATTGCAGTGAGTCCTCTAACTTCTCAAAAGTTTTCAAAGCCTCACCCCCGGCCCCCTCTTCAAGAATTAGAAGAGGGATATAACAAGCTATTTCTAATACGGCCTAAGGCTGGAGAAGAGAACAAAAAGAATTAGAAATGCCTGCATTAACTAATTATAAATGCTTTTCTCTGAGACAGAGCAAAAAGAACATAAGCAAGGGAGGGGTAAAATCCCTAATTTCCCAAATCCACATTAGCAGGTAGCTGGTAAAGATCCTGTTTTACCTGCTGGGAAAAAACATGAGAAGGAATCCTAAGAAAATGCACAAAATTTAACTATATACAGCCTTACAGCATAACAATTTGAAGATGTCTACACAGAAGGAAGTTTTCAAGTGGCCTGGAAGGAAAAAGTTCTATCTCCTACTTGAGTCAACCCTGACTATGAAACAGGGCTTAAGCAGGAAATGCAGATAAACTCAAGAGAGAATATTCAGACCACTATATCCTCCATTTAGCTTGGACACCTCATAAAAATTATATATAATTAATCATCCAGTAGTCCCACAACTCTGCAATCCCCACTGGAGCAGAATACAACCCTGGCTAAAGCCAGCGGCAAAGCTACGGAAGACAGTTGACCTCCACTGCTGGCAAGGCCAGCCTGTGGTAAAGTGAGATGGAGCAGAACTCTGCAGACTTCTGGAGGATGACCCTCAGGGTTGCATCCCTTCGGCACAGCATGTGTGAAAAACAGCTGAAACAGTTGCCCATCAAAAAATACGGATTTTATTCCAATTAGTGTCTTCCCCTCTATGCATTTTAAAGCATCAAGAGTATATGAATGTCATAGGTTCTCTCTCTCCCTCTCTCTCTCCATTTATAGGATGGAAATACTGCAGCCAAAGGGCTAGACATTGATTCTGAAAAGGGATAAAAAAAACTAAAGAGCAAATGGGAAGAAAATCCCAAGTAAATAATAACAGAAGTAGCTACCAAGATACTTTATTTCACTGCCTTGCATTCATTTACTGAGATCAGAGCACGGTCAGTACTAATTATGAAACCCCACTCAGGACACCCAACTGCCTGAGCTCATACAGCTTTTGCAGACACTGAGATTTCTGGAAGAGAAGGGCACTGGCAGCACATGACCAAATTAATGTCTGTTGTGGCTGACTGAAAACAGAGCTACACCTGAGGCAAATCGTCCTTCCACCAACAAACCATCACTGCTATAAGTAAAGCAAACCACTGAACCATAGTTGTTCTTGCCATCACTAGATGTCTCTTACTGCCCTGCTTTCTGAAAAAGTTGAATATCTTCAAACAACATTTTACCCTTGAATGTTTCAGTATAACCTTGAAATAGAAACTGTACTGAAAGAAACTGCTTCACAAAGACCTAACTTAATAACAAAACGACAGCTATATGTTTAGATATCTTTCAGACTTTGCTTTAATATTATTGATATGCTTCTCGATGGTACTTAACTCAGGAAAAGGCCTGTAGGAAAAGGGAGGGAGGGAGGAGCAGGAAAAGGCATTTGCACTTAGGAAAACACTGTAGGGGGTTCTCACCATAAACTGCCTGCAATTTGCTAGTGAAAATAAAACTGCTTATTACAAATCAGTGTGCAGAGAGATATGCCATGACTGTCTTGCAAAGAACGATAACCCAAGAATTTTAGGTGGCAGAGTTTTATTTCATTTAGAGCCTCAGAAGTACTAGCAAGCAGCGAAGTATCTGCTGACCAGAGCTTACAGATACTTTTACATTCTCTGCAAAATACTGATTTATTTCATAAAGATCTCGCAATGAGCCACTCTTACCTTACTGCAACAGCCATGCTTCCTATAGGGTTGATAGGCAATGGCCTGGCTCCAGGAAATATTCCTCTACTCAGAACTCGAGCTCCATTTTGTATCACTCCCGGAGGAACTAAAAAAAAAAAAGGAAACAAAAAAAGAACATTTTTTCTTTTAAAGAAAATGTTGGAAAAATGTAGGAGCAAAATGTGGAGCAAACTTTTCAATGAACTGAGAAAACACTGGAGAGGCTCGTGTAGTACACTGCTTACCTTGAATATCTCAGCCTCAACTCTTGTGAATGCCGTGCTATTTCCAATGCTATTTTCACGGAAAAAAAAACAGCAACCAATGATAATGTGGCTTGGGGAAGCCACTGCCCGACCTAGTTGCTGCAGACCATTCCTTGTACAAAGGAATCACTTTTGTTTTGTAATCGCCATTGTGCTGGGAATGCATGTGCTTAGAGTCAAAACTGTCTGTGAGCACAGATGTAACTATTTCATCTACAAGAAGAAACAATGACCCTTTACAGATAAACAGAATATAGGCACTTCACTGCAAGAACATAGGTCAAGCTTTTTATCATCCCAGCTTACTTTCTAAGCAGCAATCTCTTGGCCTTCACTGCAAAATAAAATATTAACTATGAATGTGGATTTACCAGGAAGGGAAAGACAAGAGGATGAAAAGGCATTAGCTCCATACCACTAATTAGCCCCCCTCTCTTGCCACCGATGACCTCTGTCACCCAGCCTGACAGCAGTCATGCTCCTCCAGCACACAGCCAGGTCACAGCTGAGCCTCTCCCATCCAACGTGGCACACTGATGCCCCGACACTGAACTGCGTAGACGCTGGCCACTACGAGTGAGAGATTTCACTGAGGCCTTTTAACTTGGTTGTGTATCAAAAACTACAGCTCTGGCCAAGATTTTAACCTACAACCGAGTACTTCTTTTCTATCCAGGCACATTTGTGTGCGCTGCTCAGCCTAGGGCAGCCAACCTCCCAGCTGAAGGAATAGCAAGAGGAAGCACTACCAAGGCACCATCAAAGGAAGAGACTGTCCTTAGCAGGTCCTCAGCATTTTCCTCCTCCACTGTGGGATGCGGGACTACTGAACACAGCTCTTATCCTAGGCACTTACCAGGGACTTATGTGTAATGCCATTCGTTTGCACAGCTATTATGTCCCTTCAGGTTGGAAGAGTAACCTCCAACAGCCTCAAACCAAACTTGCTGCTTTAACGTCCACAGCTAGCCAGTTTGCTCACTTTTTCTTTACTGTAAGCCACCATTCATATCGTAACTTCCCCTGATGGGGAATGTCCAAAAATGATGATCATTACTCTGGATTGTTTTTAACAATACAGATATTACATAAATACATATAAGATAAATGTAAACCATATCACTTTATATACACCTACAAAATTTTATTTTTAAAGAAATTACAGGGAGATTAGAAAAATCATTCAGCCTAAGAATCAACACATACACTTTACATGCCCAACTTCAAACGCCTACACCTGAAAATATTAGTGTATTCTGAGGCAGAGAAATACAGGGTCAGAAGTACATGATTTCTAAGCTGCTGAGGTACATTTCAACTTCCAGGCAACACAAAGCCAGATCCACAGCTCCCTTCTTGCTATCCTGATGCTCACCTTGCTTCACTCCAGGCCACATAGATTAGTTCTGGGAAAATAATCTTCTTTCTCCTGATGGTGAGAGCACATCATCCCCTAATCAAGTCCTGTCACTGTGTTATACCCATCCTTGCTTTTGAGCACCTCTGAAGAATAGGTCATTTATATTTAGGTGCTTAAGTACAGCCTCAAACGGCTAAAATTACAGAACCTACTTTATAACTACTAGGGTCAGCTTTCAATAACCAAAATGATTTAAAAATTGCTTTTTGCTATTTATACTTCACTACTTTGTGCACTTCTTCCTTCAGCACTAGATTACGAGAAAGTGATCAAATCTGTTTCACTCAGGGGACACTATCAGGCTTTCAATGCTCCGATGTTTCGGTTTGTAGATACTGTAGAGGAATGTTACCTTGCTAAAACGTCCAAAGTCTGAATTTCTTATTATATTTGTTTCAACAGCATGACCTTAAGATCGCCAAAATACCCGTGTCATGAAAGAAAAGCAGTCTGCTCAAGGATATGGCTAACCTAAAATGTACAGATAACAGGTAAACTCAAAGCAGCAGATAAACCTGCTAAATATCAAAATATCAATAAAAGACATCATTTCCACTGGGCATGGTTTTTCCAACAGGCTTTCAAGAGGGACAGATTTCGTACTGCACTACGCAGTACAGTTTCTCTACATTTAAGAAGCCCCGTTAAAAGAAATGAACCATGAGTTTTGACCAAGAAAGAGCTAGGAATTTTATCTTTACTCTGATACAAACCATAGAATTTTATATTGAAATGAAACATTTATTGCATTCACACAGAGCCACATGTCAGTTAGCTATGGATGTTGCCTAAATGTATATACACACATACAAACACACACACAAACAAAACTTCAAAGCAAACACACTGAAAGTTTTACTGTAGAAAGAGAGCAACAGGCTCCTTGATGCCCAAACTCTTCTTTCCACGGTTATCTAATTATCCTGGGCTGTTGGCAGAGTTAGCTGATGCTTATCTTACCCTCTCTCCTCTCCTACCTTCTCTTTCTGCCTTATTGACAACTCCCATTGCTTCTTTAAAAAAAACCCTCTTCACTTCCTCATCACTTCTCTAAAAACACTGTCTCATGTCTTTCCTTTTTTACCTTCTCTGAGCTTCCTTTTTTCCTGCACTCCCATATATACAAAATACATTGCTAAGTCTCATGGTTTAAACTTTCTCTATATAGGCATCCCCTCTCGAACCCATCCTCCATCTTCCTCAACTCTGCAGGTTTGTAAGTCACGGTGTGCTATTCAGGAACACATTCTTTGAAAGCTTCACATTTAAAAACATCCCCACCTCAACACACATATTCTCTACATCTTCCCTTTAGGAATTAACAACTGTTCTAAAAAAACGAAAAAGTAGAAGTTTGCTGTACTTTGAAAATACCCCAAAGAGATAACTTGGTTCCTATTCCTGCCGATGAAATTTACTTCCATTACATCTGGTCTGTTCAGCATGCCAGCACTCATTCAAAGGCTTCGGTAAGACTCTTCGTGCCAGAAGGGACCTTAACTTTTCTCTGAAGTATGCCACAGCTCTGTATATTGAATTCACCCCTCAGAATTCAGTAACTATCTCAGCTTGCAACAGCAGTGTTATTGCTACTGATTTTTACTTTTGTTTCCCAAAACTCTCTGAATTTACGATGCGGCAATACCACCACATCACTAGTTAAGTTATGCAGACAGACAAACAGGAAAGTTGTATGCAAGGGGTCAACTGAAGAAGGAAACTGGGTGATGCAGTGTGTCCTTTCAGTAAACATCTGGAACCATAATGAAAAAAACCCCCACCAAAACCAACACAACTTGCTGGTAAATTAGTTTCTGTAGCATTCTAAACCTAACAGGAAAAGTAGGATCAAAATAATTCAATAGTAGAAGTTATTAATTTCTAGTTATCCACATAACCAATGTACCACTGATAGACTGATCTGTATTGCTCACGCATCTCTACTTAGAGCATTTAAAGCATCAATATCCATCCTTCCCAAAATGACACTAATTACTTTCTTTTTAAAAAAATCTATGTATATAAACTGCTAATACATTGTCCCTGCTACCCAGACACTTTCCCTGCCTTTGTACAGGCTGTATGAAGATGGCTATTTATTATCCAAGGAAATGTTTTCACATGTTGGTACTTTTTGAGTGTTGTGGATTATTTACTGGAAAATACATGGTGCTTTTATTTCAAAGATACATTATGCCTTACAAGCTTTAATTATGTTTCAAAACCATACTTTGAGGCGAGGTATTTATATTTTAGATTGAAGATTCAAGGTGTGGAGGTAAGATAATTTACTCTAAGCCATATCATCAATCAGTGCCAGTCTGGACTAACACCTTACGCTCCAGACTCCTCTTTTCTCATGCTTCTTTAACCAACAGTACAGACAGGTTACATGGTTCCCAATTCCTAGGCAGAAGTGTGAAATGTAATTTACACCTTTCCTGTGCAAGTGCCGAGAGACATTTATGTCTTAGAAACTCAGCTCAAGAAAACAATGCAAAAAGATCTGTGCATCTCTTTGATAAAGGTTTCCTCTCTCACAAAATTTTCCTAGTGAAATGCAGAGTCTGAAACCACAAACTCATTATTCACCTTTCAGCTTTCATCACTGCTGTTTTCAAGGAGGCATTGGACCTCATTCTGCTCTCAGGAAGCTCAAATCCAGGAAATACTTCCACTGGAGTAGAGTTAAACCACGTACAAAGAACCTGCCCCTAATGTGCAGCATGAAGAGGGAAGTTATTTTTGGATCTTATGCTGCTCTGGTGGAATTCCACAATCTCAGTAACATCTGCTAGCACTTGAAGTCTCCACTGGCTAACTGCGGAGAGAAGCAATGCATCCAATGTCAAAAATCAAGACTGCATCTCTGAAATCGTCCAAGGGGGACAACAATCTCTCTTTTGTAGCAAACTTCCATATTACAGCTTAACCGACAATAAAGTGAATGCCATGTAGAAGAACATACCATAATCTGAATCCGTCAAAACACTATGTTCAGGTAGTGTTAAAAAGATACAACAGAAACCCTCAAAAATCCAGTGTTGTTTTGTAGTCCATACTCAGCCTCTGGAGGTGGAACATAAGTAGGCGACCACATGATCACTCCACAGCCAGTGCAGGACTGTTTTAATTCAGAGCATGGTCTTGTGTGCACATTAGCTGAGTACAATATCCCATACTACGGACTTCTTTCATCACAGCCCTCAACAGATTGCATCCATAAACTCTTACTTGCAAGCGCGAATACAGGTAAAGCAAACTTCTCCCATCCAGCTGAGGTTACAATGTCATCCAAGGCCTTCACAACACTCAATACCATGTTAGACTGGGTCCTTCCCTGAAGATTTGCTTGTCTTACACACAATACAGCAATTCGGCAAAATTGAAATGGAAAAGGAGGAGGAAATACTCAATGGA